CAAAAAGAATAAAATATTTATACATAACTTTAACCAAGGAAGTGAAGACCTATATATAAGACGTTAATGAAAGAAGTCGAAGAAGACACAAATAAGTGGAAATATGTTCTGTGCTCATGGATTAGAAGATTAATATTGTTGAAATGTCCATATTACTGAAAGCAACATACAAATTCACTGCAGTCCCTATCAAAATTCCAAAGGCATTTTTTCATAGAAATAGAACAATCTTAAAATTTATGTGGAGCCACAAAGATTCTGAATTGCCAAAGTAGTGTTAAACAGAGAAGAAAGCTGGAAGCAGCACGTGCCCTAATTTAAAACTATATTGCAAAGCTATAGTGATTAAAGCAATATGATATTGGCATTAAAACAGACACATATATCAATGGAACAGAATAGAGAGCAGAAATAAACCAACATATGTATGTATATAGTCAATTAACTTGCACCAAAGGAGCCAAGAATATACAATGTGGGAAGGACTGCCTCTTAGGTAAATGGTACTGGGAAAGTTGGATAGCCAAATGCAAAAGGATGAATCTCGACCACTGTCTAACACCATATACAACAGTTAACTCAAAATGGATTATCGACTTGAATGTAAGATCTGAAACCATAAAACTCTTAGAAGGAAAGTTAGGTAATAAGTCTCTGAGCTTAGGTCTTAGTGATGATTTTCTGGATCTGACTCCAAAAGCAAAGGCAACAAAAGCAAAAATAAGTAAGCAGGATGACATCAAACTAGAAAGCTTCTACACAACTAGGGAAACCATTAACAAAATGCAAAGGCATTCTACTGAATGGGAGGAAATATTTGCAAATCATATATTTACTAAGAGGTTAATGTTCCAAATACATAATGAATACATACAACTCGATAGCAAAAACAAACAAACAGTCCTATTAAAAGTAGGCAGAAAATCAGAATAAACATTTTTTTCCCAAAGAAGACATATAAATGACCAACAGGCACATGTAAAGATGCTTAATGTCACTAATCATCAGGGAAATGCAAATCAAAACGACAGTGAGATATCACCTCACACCTGTTAGAATGGCTATTATTAAAAAAAACAAGAAATAATTAAGTGTTGGTGAGGATATGGTACAAAAAGGGAACCCTTGTGCAATGTTGGTGAGACTGTTGCAGCCACAATGGAAAACAGTACAGAGCTTCCTCAAAAAATTAAAAATAGAACTATTATACAATCCAGTAATTCCACTTTTGGGTATTTATCCTAAGAAAGTGAAAACATTAATTTGAAAAGATATACATACCTCATGTCCATTGTAACAGTATTTACAGTAACCAAGCTCTGGAACTGACCTAAGTGTCCATCAATAGATGACTGGATAAAGAAGCTGTGATATACACACACACACATGCCTACACACAAACACATACACACTAGAATGATATTCAGCCATGAAAAAGAATGGCATCTTACCATTTGGGACAACATATATGGACCTTGAGGGCATTATGCTAGGTGAAATAACTCAGACAGAAATAAATACTCTGTGATCTCATTGATCTGTGGAATCTAAAAAAAAATTGACAAAATAAAACAAGAACAGTAAACAAACTCAGATGGGAGAACAGACTGGTGGTTGTCAGAGAGGACGGTGGTAAGGGTGGGCAAAATGGGTGAAGGGGGTCAATAGAGTATAAACTGCCAGTTATAAACTCAATAAATCATGGGGATGTAATGTATAGCATGGAAACTATAGTTGATAATATTGTGTTGCATATTTGAAAATTGCTGAGTGAGTAAATCTTAAAAGACCTCATCACAAGAAAAAAAAATTTTGTAACCATTTATGGTGAGAGATGGTAACCAGACTTACTGCAATGACCATGTCACGATACATCCGCATATCAAGTCAGTATGCTGTACACCTGAAACTAATCAATGTTATATGTCAAATATAAAAATTAAAAAGGGTAAAAGGAAAAAAATGTTTTAGTACAACTGACTCTAGCAGAGAAAAAGGGGGTGCCGGGGGTCAGAAAAACCTGATTCTGTTCCCAGAGCTGTCGTTTCTAACAATGGGACCTGGGCAGACTCCTTCCTTCTCTTGATGCCGTTTTCTTCAACACTGAATGTACTTGGTAACAATGACTTCGCTGTGCTCTTCCGAGGACAAGATGCAGCAATGAAGGCAGAAGCATTTTATAAAATGTAAAGTGCTCTCCAAGTTTAAGATTTTTCTCATAGAGTGAAAGCAGCTAAAGAAGAATGCAGGGTTGAATGTTCGAACCCACTCAGAGGCAGCTTTTGTTGAGAAAAATATGCGAATTGCCTGTTGAAAGAGAACCCATGGCTGTAAAGGAAAGGAAGAGAATGTGGCTGGCAAAGCTTCTGTGAACATGTTTTTAACATCCCTTCTTGTGCTCCTCATAGGTGTAGTGATTTGGGTGCAACAGTAAGATAAGCTGCAGAGGAGAAAGGGAAGAGGTGAACTTGCTCAGTGAAACCAGGAGAAATACAAATGTGGTCCCCAGTAAGTTTTGAAAAACATCTCAGAGCTGCTGTAAGATAACTTCTTAAAGCCAGAGCAGCTCAGTGGTCCAAAGGAAAGAGAGATGTTGCCATAGAAACTTGGCTTCCTCAGCTTTATGACCCTGATTTTGGTGATACCACCTTGTCCTTACTGTTCTGGAGTACCTAGTGTGCCGTAGGAATAACACCGAAGCATTCTCTGTCTTTCACTTTCACTCTCCCTTCTGTGAAAGATTCAGAGCATATCTTAGAGAGAAACATCAGAATTACTTTGGGGAAAAATCACTTTATACCCAGGATGTAGCTGTGCTAGTTTAACTGAAATACCTTTTGAAGGGAATATATTTTAGTAAACTTTTGCCTTCATTATGCTCAGAATTCCCTAGAATTTTCTCTCTGTTGTAAGGGTATCATTGTATTCACATTTGAAAAGGCATTAACAAATTGAATAGAGAGGATTTTGCAAAGGTTCATTTGGAAAAGGTTCTCCCTTATTAGATTTTGGAGACTTTTCAGTATGGCTTTAGTTCTTCAGTAGGGTAAATCCATTCTTCACTTTTGATGGAAGGAGGGGAGATACTTTCTCTGCAAAAGTTCACTTCCATCATAGGCTGTACTTTTGAAAATACTCAACATATATTTTTTTGCCTGTTTTTCAAAACCCAACCTTCCAAATTCTATACTATAGGTGCTTTGTCCATGTTCCTTCTAGTCCAATGAGTCTCTAAAAAGAGGAATGTTGATTGTTTGTAGTAACTGAGTAAAGAGTTTACTTTTCTATTATTGTGAAATATATGTTATATAAAATTTGCCATTTTGGGTATTTTTACAGAGATTTATCTTTAATTAGCACATTTCTTTTCCAAAACCATGCTTTTCTTCTTTCCCAAAGCTGCTGGAAAGTTACAGAATAAAGACTTGATTTTTATTTCATTTTCTTTCTGATTTTTATAGAAATAACTGATTGTGGGGATAAAATGGAACATTCATGAATTAGAGACATAGACAGTCCAGCCTGACTTAGCAAAAGGCCAGCTCTAGAATCAATAGCAGATATACTTCAGTACTACTGTGTATTGGGTAATGTGCTAAGTACAAAATACATATGCACATTAGAGGGAGTCTTAATCACAAGTAACTGTTTATATAGTTGGAAAATTATGATAAAGGCACATGAAAAATAATAATAGAAACAAACTAAAAACCTAAAGGGTAGTAAACAGCGTAGTAGGTGCTGTTGGAAATCAGAGAAGGGAGAGAAGGATGATGTGATAAAGGAAAAGTTCTAGAGGAAATGGCTTAAAGCTGAGCCTGGGAAGTACCCTAGGCTTTGAATAGAGAGACCCAGAGAGCTTTTTAAGGAGGAGGAAGAGCATGGTCAAAGGTGCAGAGGCAGGGGGATGTGAAAGTATTTTTAAAGGCCCTTGATTTATTTATAGATTCTGGATGTTTCTTTCGTGGTTCTCTAGAGAACTTTTCTCCCATGAGTTAGAATTGGAGAAAATTCATTTTTTCCTCTCACTTCCTATGAATATGCCCCATGCAGTGGGTCAGACTTCATCGTGGGCAATGCATGGTATTGAGTCATAGTGTCTTCTTCATTGGAAACTTAGGTCTCCGCTTCCCTTCTTTCCCTTTAAGAATATAGGTCCCTCATAATCAGGCATTGAATCTTTTCTTTTCATCACAGATTATATATTCTCTATGCAGAGATCTTAATTTTGTAACAGCCGTCACCATACTAGCATGACATGCCAAAAAAAAAACTGGCCTGGCCAAGTCAGTAATGTCAGAAGGATCTGAGCTTACAGGCTTTCCACCGGTTCCAGGAATGAGTTTTTGCTGAACCATCTATTCTGCATCATCCCTGAATGCTCACTTTTAATCCCTGACGCCCATTTGTGAACAAGCTAGTATTCTAGGATTATAAATTAAGTGGGTGGTTGAGACTATTTTTATATGTGAAAACCTAATTGGACAAATAAAAACTAATTCTTTAACCTTATTCTTATCAGCTCCATGGTCTAAGTTGTAATTCCTGGTCCTTCTGTAAAAATCAGTATATTCCCTTGAAAGCATATACCAGAGTTTAAAAAAATAATTCTGAACAGGCACTAATGATCTTACTCATTATTACTTGAATTATTATGCATTTGATAGTATTATTGGGTCATAGATCTTCATATCTCCACAGGAAGCCACCTGCTTTAGTGGAAATTACTCAAGCATTAAAAGTCAAATCAGTCAGGACTGAAAAATCTGTTACCTTCTGGTTTTTAGGAAAAATTACTTAGTGTCTCTGATCCTTTGTTTCCTTGTCTATAATAAGAGATTGATAACAGAACCTACTTCATCAGGTTGTAATGAAAATGAAATTAACTTCTATATAAAGTCAAAGTCAGCACTTAGTAACCGACAGCTATTAGGAATTATTTTTGCCATAATATTTAAGAAACACCTTCTTAAAAGGCATTCCCTTTGTGCCTTTGATAGCATGAGAAGCTGATACATGAATTGGAAGAAGAGAGACACTTACGTCTTCAGAGCAAGAAGCGGTTGCAGGAGGTGACGCTGGAGTCGGAGCGCAACAGAATTCAGATGCGAGGCCTTCAGCAGCAGTTCTCCAGGTATTGTTCTGCACTGAACATCTTGCTTTGGGAAGTACATCTCTCCTGCACCAGTGACACTTTTGCTGGAATTTCCATTGTTCAAGCCTCTGTTGCATCTGAGGAGGGAATTTACCAAGAGTTCAGACTTCTTGTCTTCTGACCAAGACATCCTGTTGCATTTGGACCAATTTTTTGGAAATCTCCATTTGCACATCACATAGCCTTGGTTTTATTGAAATTCGTTGTCTTTTAGTCTATGGCTTTCTGAAGGATTTTCCAGTAAATTGTGGAGGCTTTATGGCCTTATTGGCCTGTTCTGTGAAAGGCCAGCCAGCAGGAAGATATTCCACTGGTTATCATAATCTTCTACTAAGGTAGAGAGTGTGAATCTAATCTCCCAGTAAGCTCTTACTCATTACTCAGGGCAAATATTTAGGAATGGTTTTGAAAAGATCAGAGTTCCTTTATTTTAAAAAGTAATTTGAATTTGAAGGAAGATTCTGAAAAAGTGACTCTTCTTAGAGTTGATTCCAGCATTGTTGGGATCTCTCAGCTTCCAAGTATAGTTAATATAGGACCAGGTGAAGATTCAACCTATTATTTAAAATCTATTTAGGTCCATGGAAAAAACTCAGACTTGTGTGATTACAGTTCTGGGACCAGATAGGGGCACCCTGTGAGGGACAGTTTGCTTTCCTTTCTACATTTCACTTTACTATTTATAAACCAGGAAAATAATTTAGTTTCTTTTCTCCTTCATGAGGTTACCTCAGGCAGAATCAAGTTTGAGAAGCTGTTCTGAAGTTTTCATGAGCAAACCGTGTGGGTCTTGTTGATTTACTACTTGGAATTGGATATGACTGGTAATGGATAGTACAACTTCCTCAGTACGAGGCTTTCCTAATGACAGCTTAATTTTCAGATGTGTTTCAGGGAGAGACCAATGTTGGCCCTCCTGGTGATTTATCTTATTGTGGTTAATTCCATGAATGCTTTTGACTTTGGTTTAGAGGCTTCTTGGGGGAACAGGGTAGGAAGGATGGATGGCTCCTCTGTGTTCAGAGGCATGATTTAACACCCTGTTCAACTCTCTGAGCCAATGATATCACACAGGTGCTGTGGAAACGCACCAATCAATACTTTAACAAATGCATGTCCCACCCCTCACAGGCTATCACTCACACAGCCTTGTGGTCCATTTTCATTATGTTTGATGGCAACTCTCACTTTTGTCTCCTACCTTGAAATAATAGATCCTCTCTATCCCCTCCCGAAGCAACTTTAAAACAAGCACTGCTTTGTAATACTTACTATTTTAATGATATAGGGAAGGAGGAGGCAGACGCTACCCTTGCACTGTCTAATTGAGATGTCTCTGTATTCAAGCTGTTGATTTACAGGGCATGAGGCACATGGTACAGTAAATTATTTTCATATGATGCCAGGTCATCTGCTGTAAATCAAATGACAATCTCATACTGATCTGAGTTACGCAAGAGCCAAGACTACATCCTCAGCTGAAAGAGAAGATAATTATATATAAAAGAAATGGTGATTAGTTTTACATACTGCTTTTATGAAGACCTCTCCCCACCCCCATATAATTAGTTTTCTTATGTAAAGCTTCATTGAAACTGAAAAAGTCAAGTCCAGTTACATCCAGACAACTAATGTAAATCAGCAAAAGATGGGGGCAAAAGCTTTTATAACAGTAAGGTAGATATAAAATAATTTAAGTAGACCTACTAAATCATTTCTGATAGCCTTTCCCATTTAAACTTTGGTTTATAAAATAATTCTAGTTATGCTATTTAAACAATCCAGTTACCGTAATTTAAGTCTTTGTAAAATTTTTAGTTTTAAGAACTGAACTCTAAGTTTTAAGACATGAACATTAGGAACATGTCTATAGTGCATCATCCTTAAATGTGGTCGACATCTAACTGTTCACATACATAATTTCTACAATGCAAATAACTGTATTGAATTTAAAACCTTCATATTCATAATGTGCTCCTGTTTTTTCCCCTGGGTCTGCCAGTTCATTTTCTGTTTAATATCCAAGATGTAGACTTATTTCAAGTATTGTTTCATGGGATGAGTTTACTTTCAAAAATAATGTTGATAACCTACCTTGTCAAAGGATTTGAGCAGCTTACAGTAAGAGGTAGGTTTACATTAAGATTGATAAAATAAAAACGGAAAATAAAGCCCTTGAAAGGGGAATGTGGCAAGTTATCATACTTGCATAGCCTAATATATTTTCTAAGAGTGAGCATTTAATTTAGCTCTAAGATCCCTGGTGGACGAGATAAAAGGGAAAACACAAGAGGGCTGATTATTGAACCTCATAGACAAAGACTCCTATAGCTTTAAATAGAGAAATACAACGCCTGGTAACAAATTCATAGTAGAAGGTATAGCAAGGCCCCAGTCAGAGATGGTGTGTGGGATATAATAGGCAATGGTCCAAGATGCTCAAAGTAGGATTAATTTTTAGAAGTATTACTAATTCTGCTCTGTCTCTAATCCTAGAAAGGTAAGAAGTTCTGAATTTCACAATACGTGAAATGGGAAGGCTGGGTCCATGCCTAAGTGAGAACAAGTGGGTTAGGAAGAGCTCCAGAGCTCAGGTTCTCAGTGAAGCACTATGCTGCGAGTTCATGGGCAAATTTATGTATATCTAATAAATCTTAATTTATATATGCTGGATCTAATTCTTTCATGGACTTGGAATACAGAGGCATGAGATGCTGAAGCCTGCTCTGCATGGGTGAAATATTTTCCTGGTATGTTTGAGGATGATGTAGCTGTGGAACCATCTAAACAATAGTTAGGGAGATTCTGAGTCTCTGATTCAGGGATGAGGTAGACATTGAAGGGGAAAGTTAGAAGCTGGGGCAGTTAGGTGCCTCTGGTAAATAGAGTTCAGGTGTCAGAATGAGTGATTCCAGAGAATTAGTCCCGAACTTGATTTTATGCAGTTTCAACTAGGTGATGGGCCTCGTGGCTTAAAGGCATGAGATAAACCTGAACATTTGTGATTATCTGTGATAATGAGTAATGGGATCACTTAAGTGATAAAAATCTATAAAGATGTTTGAATGAGTGGTTCTCTTTTATGTCAGTCGCCAACAAACCTTCATCCATAATCTCTTCCCTCTCAACCTCTGATTAAAGTATAATGATCAGCAGTGGTCCAAAATTTGGGAAATAAAAAAAAAAAGGAGAGAGATGTAATGATATTACATAGTCAGCTCTAAGCTCATAAATCAGAAATTGCCTGCACTGAGGGTGCTTTAGGCCACTGTAACAAACTTGATTCAGACCATTTACCTTTTTAATGTAAATGCAGAGAAGAAAAAGAGATACTTTCAAATTAAGCCTTCTTCATAGATGAGGAGCATTTCCAAAAGGTGGTTCTTAGAAGCAGGTGGTGGTATCATTAGACCTGCCCCTTCTTTGTCTTATTATTTGGTGATAAAAATCAAATGCCTTCCAGATGTCATAATGATTGTTTAACCCATGGTCTATGTGGTGTACATGGCTGGGCATATTTTATTTGGGATTAGCTTTGTGACCCACTCCCGCCTCCATATTTCCATAACTGTCTTTACCTGCTTCTTTGAACTGTGAACAGCTGAGGTTAATGGTGGGGACTTGGCACTCCCATCACTCCTGTATGGAGATAATTAGTGTTTGAACCCCCAGCCTCATAACTCCACCTTGAATGAATGAAGTGTTTGTGCATCTGTTAGATTCACCTGGAGCGGCAAGTCCAGGAGCACTGTATAAAACCAAGTAGGTTATGTTCAGATAGAATAACAAAAATTTTTTAAAAAACAGACTTGTGAAGAAATAAACAACTTTATGGAGTGCTGATTTCAGGCAAAACGTGTGATCTGCACATGCATTTGAAAATAACCTAATCAATGTGTAGGCTATTGCTGAAAGTTATTCTTACTAGACAGTCAACCATTTTATTGTGTCCACAGTTAACACACAACACAGCATGTGTCCTCAAAAAATGTAGAATCCAGATAGAGAAGCCTTATGCACATATATGAACCAAACTACACATTTATAACTTAGCTGTAAATGAAGGGAAATTTTGTCCAAATTCAAGACAGCCAAACTTCCTATCTGTTTGTGGTATGTTATCATGCAAAGACGTGAATGAAGCCAGATTAAACTAATGATTGTGTAGTGATACTAGTAATAGTAATACATGTGCTTATTGTGTGGTAGCTCTATGTTGCAGTATGTTTGAAACTTTAAATTAGAATCAACCTGGTAGACTCACCACCAGCCAGATATCTTATAATCTATAGTTAGCAAATGATATCACACCCAAAGCAACATCATCAGAAATCAATTCTCATTTCTCTACAGCCTTGAAATGTTCTATGTGCTGTACATGTGTGTGTATTTACACCATGCAGTGCAAATTTAAGTAGTGGAGAGCAATTAAGCTTTGTCATCCATAATAGACTAAGATGTTTAAAAATCACCCAAGTGGAGTCCACACTTTCACTCTCTACCTCCAGAATTTCTGTGCACCTGTTTTGACCTTCTCTCCCTGCACTGTTACTGGCTGCCTTGAAGCTATTTCTCTGCTTACTGTAACGGGGATTTCTCCTATCACAGTTGATTGCTATGCTTAAGTGCAGTTTGCTGCCTGCTGAACTTCAAGGAGACGTAAATGGAGATGGTTTTACTGCTTAACTCGCTCACTGGTTGCTGTTCACATTATCGACTCTCAGACTGTATGGGATTGTAGGGTTCACTTTCTGCTGCCCATTTGGAAGCTGTAGGTACCTGGCATAGAAGTATGTGTTGAACAGGATAATATGCCCTTAACTGTTCTACCCATGTATTCCCTTCTGCCTCTGTACCTGTCCGGTACATTAAAAGAACATTTTCTCTACATCTTTAGAAAGATAAAACATAACAAGACAAGAAAAAGCTGTCAACTGACCTTTGGACAGTCAACAGCACAGAGCTCCTTCTGCTCCTCT